TATGCTGGAGCAGATTCTGAGCCGATTGGAAAAAATAGAGAGAAGCCAAGCAGGAGCTGTAGCTCCTAATCGCTCCTGAGAGTAGCCGTGGGCCCATCAAATAAAAACCCAATCTCCCAACTCAAGGCGAGTACTAGTATAGAGAGGGGTGAAGGAGAATCAGGATATAAAAGCATGGAGGGTATAATATATAGCAGTATTGGGCTAAGGTTAAGAATAGCATATCATAATATCAATAGGGTTAAAGGCAATAGGTCTAAACTTAGAATGTTAATGGAATGGCAAGAGAGTGAAAATATTGATATCCTAGAGACAACAGAAACAAATACAAACAGTAAAGAGCTTGGGTTCAGCTTAGAAAGTAGACATAAAGATTACTAAACACAAAGCGAAATAACAAAACATAAGGGCTCTGGTGTAGAATTAGTTATAGGTACAGAATGGAAAAGATATTTAGGGAGCATTACAAGGTTCAAAAAATATATGATCGAGGCAAGATTCTTTTTCAAGGATGCCGAAATTAGTATAATTGTAGTATATATACTACCAAATGACAAGGCACAAGCACGAAAGATACAGCAAAAAATCGTATCCAAGTATATAGAAAGAAATCCAACATTACACTTTATTGTAATGGGTGATTTCAACCATATAATAGACAAAGAATTAGACAAAGTAAGCCAAAGCGAAAACAGTATACCGAAAGTTCTTCTATTACACAGATGGCTTGTAAGCCAGGGTTTTGGTGATATATTTAGGGTGTGCAATCCTGAGCTCAAAAGGTATACAAGGTCAGGGCAAGGCACAAGTATAAGAATTGACCAAATATGGGTATCAGAAATATTACATTTAGGTGTCGAGCAAGCAGAAATTGTAGAAGCAGATGTAATCACAGAGAGTAACCATAATATTGTATGGGCAGACATATCACTTAAGCATATAGTAAGAATGCATAGCCAAGCAAAGAAAAGAAGAAAAGGTATAGTAAGAACAATTTTTCAGTATGATAAAGCATCTGATGAAAATTGGCGAGATTACCATAAAGATCTAGACAAGTTCTTAAAGGAAAACTATAAGCTAGATAAGCTGCGACAGACAGGTTTTGACACTAATATAGATAGAATATGGAATATTATATTAGAAGCAATTCGATATGCAGCAAACAAAAACATACCAAGAAAGAAAGTGACAAATGATACCTTCTATACGAAATGCAAGCGCAAGACCTCAGCTCTACACAAATCTATTGTGGCACTCAGCAAGATAATACGGTCAGTCAAGAGGACACTAGATATGAGAATGGTTCTGGTTAGGGTAGACAACACAAATAAAGCAATAGACAAAATAAATGCAGAACAAGGTATCAATATAGAGCAGATTAGGCATGTTGACGAGGCCACATTAACTGAATGGGTACAAGTAGCAAAGCATGATTTGAAAGCTATGAGATTGCAAGAAAGGCTTAAAGATGATAAGCAGGTGAGAGAGGTAATAAGTAAAGCGATAAGCACTCGGTGTGAAAGAATAGATAGCGATGTAAGCAGAATGCTAGCAAGTATACAAGATAAGCCAACCAACAAAATTAGAATTGACAGAGTACTTGAGGTAGACACTAAGAAGCATATACTCCATACCAAGCCAGATATAGTTCTAGATAAGACTCGCAAGCATTTTGAAGGACAGTTCAAGGAGAGAAAGATCAGGACAGAGAATAACATTAAAGATGAATTCTATACACTCTTAAAAGAAGTAAAAGAAGAGTAGTATAAGAGCTTAGGTGAAAAAATTACTCTTGAGGAGTGGTTGGCTGCAGTAAATGGAACAAAGAACCAAACAGCACCCGGGGCTACGAGAATCGGTTACTGCCTAATCAAAAATACGAGTACCTCAGTTCATGAGTTGTTTGGAAAATTTGCAAACTCATGTCTAAAAACTAGCAAGATCCTCACAAAGTGGAAATTGGTACAGATCTACCCTATTCCAAAAAGCGAAGATTGGGGTTACCAACTATGCAACGTGAGGCCAATTGCCCTTCTTGAGACCTTTAGAAAGTGCATAACAAAGATTCTAACCAAGAGGGTAGCAGAGATAGTTGTTGAGCACGAAATACTGAAAGAGCTGAATTACGCAGGATTGCCTGGTTGCTCGACAGAAGAGGCAATTCATATTCTGGAAATGCCAAGGGAGGATGCGAAAGAGAACAATAAAGAGCTATGGTTGGTATTCCAAGACATGAAGAAGACATACGATTCAGTCTCAACTAAAACACTACAACTAGCGCTACAAAGAATAAAGCTGCCAAAATGAGTAGTAGAATTTATCTTAGAGCTTTTTGATAAAAGAGAAATAAGAGTTATCACAAGTGTTGGCATAACAGAGCCATTTATAGCTGGGGATGGCATAGAACAGGGTGAAACAATTTTGCCCTTAATCTGGAGAATCTTCTATGATTCTCTATTAAGAAGAATACAAGATGATCCCAAGTTAGGATACAAAGTCAAACAAAGTGAACTGCTTGATATACAGACAAAAAAGTAAGAGAGAGCATAGTTAGGCAAGCAGCAGTCACATTTGCGGATGATACAACATGGGTGGCAGAAAGCAAAGAGCAAATGAACAGTATACTACATATTGCTAAGCGGTTTTTTGCATTCAACGATATCCAAATCAATGAGGGGAAAACCAAGCTTATCGTGATGCACTCAAGTCTTAAAGTAGAGGACAGAAGCATTATAGTAAATGGGGTCCATGTAGCTGCAGAGAAGAAGAAAACGCTAACAAGATTGCTAGGAATCTGGTTAGAGATGGAGCTAAAAGAAACATTAGTGATTAAGAAAGCTAAGGCTATTGTAAAGCAGCTTATACGAACATTGCAGTTTAAGAAGCTCACAATCAGCCAGCTAATTTATGTAAATAATATGTGCATAGTACCCAAATTGGCA